CTGATAGTAAGGCGATTTTAACCATATAACTCGTAAAGCCGATTTTAAACTTATTTTATTTCTTTTATATAATATGTACATTGGTTCCATATAAGAGGTAACTAACTACAGTAAAACATCTTTGTTATAAGCTATATTATTTTTTGAAAGATCAAATATATTACAAAAAATAATCAAAAAGAAATAATATTTTAATTACGTATTAAAATATTTGCGGTTCTTTGAATGAGAATCGGTACCTCTTTTGTTGAAAAATGGCTCTTCATACCGAAAATGTTGCCGACCAGTAGTGATCATCTTCTTGTTTAATATATTATGCAACTATCTCATAACTGTAAGATTTTTCATCAATATTTCTGTAAGAGTAGTCAACTCATGAAGTTAGTTATATAGAAAATAAATGGAATAGATCAAAGCACTCACAGAGCTATATTCAGATTATACGGTGAAATTATAAAAATAAAGACAAGAAATTCGAAATGAAACAGACAAAACAGGAGAGGAAATCAAATTATAAATAAACAGGAAATGCAGGAAACAGAGGCAAAGGAAAATATAATCAGATATAAAGGAAATGGGAAAATAATTTTATTTGAATATTAAAAATCTGAAAATAAAGTTGAAATAATTTGTGCTGACAATAATTATCAATTATATAAAAAAAAGATAAATCTGAGAAATATGGAATAAATACAATTTTTCAGAAAAACTAATAAATAAGAAATACAAGAAACAAAGGTAAATATAGAGTGAATTTTGATAATAATTATCAATGAATAGAATTGAATAGAAGCCAAATCGAAGAAACGCTGACGGAAGTTGCAGGGGATGTAATTGTAGACAGATTATCTAAGCCCCAAAGGGATGAAGCTGCCAGTGAAAAGACAAAAACATCGAAGGGCTAAAGCGAGTCCTGATATCCTCGTAGGAAGTCTCTAACCCAAATAATACCGTCCAAAACTATGCATTGCGCTGAACAATTTAGGAAACTTCAGCAAATCAAATCTGTATTATGTTGTAATTTTAGTGTATTAATGAACGCATGACGTTTATATTAAATAATACGTCTCTTTGATATTTAATAAAATTAGAAACTTTCGGGAATCAACATTATTATTAGAATTTGCATATCTCTTTTAATTGAGTATATTTAAATTGTTTATAAGTTTAAGAAGCTTTCAAAGAAATGTAAATAAAAATTTGTAAATGGAAGAAAGATGAACAAGACTAAATATAATAACAACAAGAACAAGAAGGAAAAAAAAAATAAGTAGGAAGGAGTTTATTCGTGCTCGAGGCAAGACAAGTTTTCATCCTCAGTATTACAAACTAATCCTGTGGAGTTTATAGCAGCCGAAGTTTAGTTACAAATTTATTTTGTTATTTCGTGTGGATAAAGCCTGCCCTGAATATAATAGTTTATATAATTCAGGCCCGTGCCAGATGCATCTCGCCTACGCCACCCCTAGGCCCTAATTGCAGGCCCAGCGAAAGCAAAACGAGCTACAGATGCATGGGACGCGACGAAGGAAGCACTAAACAAAGGACGTACGAAAATGGTGGAAGGACGAGGACGAAGGAAGATGAGCGCCGAGAACTCAAGTGGAATCATATCCGCAAGGATCCGCTTCGAGTCCTGCGATTTATAACAATCATTTTTGCGGAGTGTCTGAAAGCTGAGCGGTGGGGCTAAGTGCCATCGTGCACGGGTCACTTATTAAATCAATCAATATTTAAGTGTAGACAGGACCATTTTCCCCCTATGCTCAGCACGTTTTATTTTTAAACGCCAACAAAAGGCAATCGTTACAATAAAAAAAAACTAATGAAAATAAACCGAACTAAAGACAGAATACAAAAACAAACAAAACTTGGAAATAAGGACAATTTTCTTAACTGTCCATCAATGTAACGTCCTAAAGATTGTTACTTTATCAAATCGTCTACGATTTACTAGAGTGCCAAAATCATCTATACAATTACCTTCCGCTTCACATCTTGCTTAACTTTCGTTTATCTATCTTAAAATATAAAACGCATTTTTGTATTCTGGTATAATACACATCGTTTTTTGAGTAAATGATTATGAATGAGTAAAAATTGGTACTAGAGATTGTTACTTTATAAAATCCACCATTACTCTCAAGTAGTCTTCTATGCAATTGCTTTCGGCGCCACATCTTGAAATTAAAAGTATTTTAATGATTTTTTTAAATTATTTTAGTAAAATATAATACATTATTTAAATTAATTTAAAGGATTGATTAAAATAGAGTACATTACATAAACTTCATTCAGGAAAACATCAAATTAAAAATAAAAAAAATTTGTTAATTAAAAAAAAAACATAAAAATTTACAAAAGCTACATTTTTATACGTCTTATTTATAAATATTATTTATAAATATTATTGAAAACTGCGTTCTAAAATACGTAAAAAGTAATGTCTATGTTTTTGTAATTACTTAAAAAAAATCAATTAATAAGTGCAGAACAAGATTTGGGTCTTTAGTGAAAATTGGGATCAATAAAAATATGACTTTTTGCTGTTTACTTATCTTAACTGAAAAAAGAAAAGGTTATATAAATATATACGTAGGTAAACCATTCTTCGTAAGACGTATGAGGAAGGGAGAGATTTAATAAGTGCGTCTATAAAAGTTGATATAAAAAGGGCATGTGCACAGCTGTAACTCACGCTGAGGACTCGCGTGTAAGTCTTGACAATAAGCGTCGTGGAAAAGCAGGGGGAAGAGGTGGAGACACGACACGAAGAATGGAAAGTTTCAATCGCAGGTTCGTCATATATTTTGACACGGGATCTGTTGACGCAATTACATTCCATTCGTTATATAACGAAAAAATAATAAAGAAAAAGAATGTGTAACGAGCAAACGTTTCGAATGAAATCCCGTTGACGTGCCTGTAATTATGAACGTCGCCGTTCAATCAGGATCAGATGCATCGATGGCACCACAAAAGGATTACTGAAAGCTTTAGTACTTTAGCAATATGGAAAATTTTACCTTTCAATCTAACTTTTATTAGCTTTTTTTTTATTACAAAATAATTAATTACAGTAATACCTCGCATAGTGCGGCTTGGACTAGTCTATAATACTGTTTGAAATTTTCAAAACAAACAAAATTTTAAATTGAGCAAAATAAAAATAACTACTAATTTTTTTTGAATTTCTTGATTAGTACGGTTTCAAATAAATTTTAGTGAAATTTTCGTTGAAAACTTTTGTCCGTGGATTTTAAATAGTCCCTAAGTTTCTGGCGATATCAGGTCTGCAAATCGAATCACTGTCGCTTCGTGTGCAAACGACTTTCCATCGGACGGTGGATTACCCCATCCAGCATCTGCAAGGAGTAATTGCTTCGCCCAAAGTGGCCTTGATATCGAAAATACTGATCTTAGAAACTGTGGTCTAAGATCCATGAAGTGAAAGATCTTCAACAAAAGACACAAGTCAATGTCTTAGACTGTCCAGACATGGGCATGACTGTACTTTTTCTATGGAAATTTTCGCATATGCACAAAATGGAAAACGGGCCGTAGTTTGCACATCACTGCCATTAATAAAAAATGGTTAGGATATTAACTTTAAGTATAAGTTAATTTTAAATAGACTAAGTTAAGGAAAATAGTATCAATTTTAGTCACATATTTATTTCAAGCAAATAACTTTAAATTTGATTTAATATAAAACGAGTTGCATTTTACATACGATTTCCTTCTGAAAAGGTCGGATGAATAATCTTTTGTTGTGCTTTCCATTTATATCGAGACTCAGAACTTGTACACTTATGAAAGAAGTTGCAATTTGCATAGTTGCGCATGGAAACTGTGAAAAGCGCCGTCCGTACATAATAAACAAATATATTGATGGCATTATATAACGAAATTATGCCAATCAAGAGTTTCAAATACAATCAAATCAAAATAGGATTTGTGTCATGTAACCAATGAATACAAAACGCTAGAATCAAGTGATAATTCACATCCGATTTTGAGCATAAAACGTACAAATCTTTTGTTGTGATTTGTGAACGTCCAGAGCGGTGACATTTTTCGAAATGAATTGCGAAATTAAAAGCTTGTATACGTGTCAACCGCGAAATATTCCCATAAAGCAAAACGATGAAAATAATAAACATAAATAAAAATTTTAAGCGCAGTATCAACGAGACGCTAAAACTCGGACAAAACATCTATTCAATACTGTTAATTTCAACGATTACAAACTTATTTCATTGATTTCGCTTGGAAAAGTTATTTCAAGCTGTAAAATTTTATTTTTAAATTAAATAAAAAAAATTGTTTCAATGTAGTTAAAAATAATAACAAAAATAATGACATTATTGTACGTTAGAGCATTTTTTTTTAAATTTATGTGAATATTTATTTGTTGTTTGCACTAACGAACTCGATGTTCATAGGAACGTACACTTTGAATGTCAATCTAATTTAAATGATTCCAAATTGTTGACATGTCTCTTCTTATATAATAGATATTCATACGAACGTACACTTTATCTTTAATTTAAATAAGTGATTCACTTATAAAATGATTGTCTATTGAAACTCAAGTCAATATGCGATTTGCTTATATAAAATATAGGAGTAAACCAATATCTTGTTGTGATTTTTCAATCGCGCTGAAACTTTCGAACGTTCGCACCGGTGACACATTCAAAAGCAGTTACGTAATATAAAAAAATAAATCTATTTGTCTAGTGCACTCCTGATCAAGGCGACGACGTATAAAGTAGAAGAGATGGAATTGAATACAATTTTCCCGTTATTTGTTTGCATTTGGCATAAAATGTAATATTTCAATGGAAAAGGAGAATTGGAAATGTGTTTTGTGTTGGAATTATTTCTTTCCGTCGCGCAGGATCTCTGCTGCCTTTTTACTTTCTTTCTTTATTTCATTTTCTTTACTTGTTCCTGTGTTCGCTCGCACTCCCCTGTCGCGTTTTCGATCATGCGGATGCTAAGTTTATCGTTCTTGTAGCATCTTTATCTATATAAGAATACTTGATATCTCAGTTTGTAAATTTGCTTAGATTTCAGTGATGGGGATATAATCAATGTTGTTTTGTTTGTATCGTTGCAGGTTGATCCGCGTGGTGCATCTGGTCGGTTGTGTCTGGTTCTGCGCTCTCGTTTTCGTCTGGATAGAAGAAGTGGACTAGCATGTGACTCGTTGTTTGTTGTTTTTTTTTGTGTGGAATTGTGTATGTACCAAGTGCTCGGCGAGTTCGAGTCAATATGCTGAAAGTTTCTTAAGTGTCATGCATCTTCCGTTCGGGGAGTAACTCCAGACAAACGTCGACCGATGTGTCCTTTAGGCATTGCGGTGTTCCTCTGTATGGCATGGCTGAGCTATCCATCAAACGGTCAACTCGCCTGGACCCCAATCTACGTGGACGGAAAGAGTAAGTACACTGGCGTCACGATATGTCCTTCCATTTCCCACATTTCCAACCGACGCAAATGCATTGCTCCACTTTTATCTACACCCGAACCCTTTTCACGCTATAAACGTCCCATTTCAAACCCCCACTCCCCCAAATACAATTACCACCCTTTCTCTCGCATAAATATTTATTCAATATATACACACACTCTCATATATAAATACATACATACATTTCTACACATACATTCTCTGCATCCCTCCCATAACCACTCCAGGCATATTCCATACCTTTCTCAAACTAAACCAACAATTCATTGAAACAATTAAGCCATTAAAGTAAAAACCAGCGCGCACACAATTTAACCAACTTCCGCCATTCCGAATCAATCTAGGACCCTAATGGCCTGGAGCTTTAATTACCGCATTTAATCAACGTAATTTTTATACTGCAATTAACGTAAAACGCATTTTCTTTTTATATTTCCGACTTCATATAGTTGGCAACTCTAATACTTAAAAAAAAACGAACATTGATTTCTCCTAGTTCATTTTAAATTTTAATTATAAATCAACAATTTATACGTTTATTTCTGAAACATTTTTTCTGTTATTTTTTTTTAAATTTAAATTATAAATAAATAATTTATACATTCATTTATTTTTTCTCTTGTTTTAATTTAAATTTTAAATAAAATGAAAGAGCTATAAAAATATACAACAGAATAAAAATAAAGCAAACTTTAATTACCGTGCATATTTAAAGAACGTTTAATTTGCTACAATTTCTTCTATTTTTATTATAAATATTTAATAAAGACAACAAATTAAACTAATTTACAAAAAATAATATTTTGTAATATTTTTCTATTACTTCATATAGCTTCGATAAGTCCTAGTTTTTAACAGTCCAGAAACAATTACCCGCATTATGCAACAATGTGAGAACATAACAGCTTTTTTTCTGATTGAGCTAGGACTAACGCTCAATCAAAGTCATTTTCGTTTGTTAACGTAATACTTTCAACAATCCAATTCAACTACCCCTAAATACAATTATTATTGATTGATTGATTTCTTGCATTTACGTTTATTGATATCTACATGTTTTTTGTTCGAACTAACGTACTAGATGTTTATACGAACGTACAATTTGTATACTAGTCTAATTAACAAGATCCCAAATTTATGACCTATAAAATTATAACCTATAGACACGAAGTAATGTGATTGTCCCTAGTATGCAAATATAGTAAATGCTCTCATTTAACATACATAATGTTAGTACGCTGATAATGTACGCTGAGGGAATACATGATAATCAATTAATTTCTTAAATTTATTTTTTTTATATAATTTGTCTAACGTTATATTAAAAATATTTATAATTACATAATAAATATTTTTGTATTTACGAAAAAAAAAAATTGTCACAAAGTTTTAATATTGATTTGAAATGATGAGAACGAAAAATAATGAATGAATGTATTTGTCTTAAGTTATTTGAAAATAATTTAAAAATAAAGCAGTAATGTTATAATAATTTGTTATGTAATAATTTTCGAGGTTAACTTTAAACGGTGTTTTTTTTAGGTAATAATATAATGGTTAATAGCGCTTTTTCTTCATGTAAATTCATTCATACCTCACGAAATCTATGCAAATACAGTCGCCGGCAAATTTAACATTTCTTATATAAAGCATTCTTAATGGATTCTGTTATTATAAGGACACCCATGAATATTAAATAAGACCCACTGCAGAGTTTTCCACATCGTTCCGTAAATTTAAAGCATCCAAACATTATCTCGTGAACGACGTCTCTCTTTGAAGTAAGACTCCAGACAGATGATACCGTACCATTCCTTTTAATTGCAGGCAATCTACGATCTTTGTACTTAATTTCACTTCAAATGACTCCCACGTTTGTTAATTGACTTACATTATGTCATACTTATTTTATACTCATCTAATGTACACACAGTTCAAACATAATTAAAAAATATTTTATGCAACATTTAAATATATAAAAATATATTACTTTTTTTAACTTTTGTAATTTCCTCCTAAAAATCCTGATAAATCCTGAAATGTTTATAGCATACTGGATATAATTTAATTGACTAGTATGAATTGGTTTGCAGAATCATTGATTTATTCTTCTTGAAATACATACTTCAATTTCAGTAAATGTATACATTTACCAATTTTAAAGACTAGTACCATATTTATTTATTTTTTAAGTTAAGGCTTTCTAGTTCTCTTAATTAACATATAAATTTCTTCATTCGCTCGAACGTACACTTTTTGAGGGTTCTGAGATTATAAGAATTAATATAATGTCGTTAGAAATTTCATTCATAATTTCATATTGTTGTTTGATAAAGATGACAATTATTAATATATAAATGTTACAAATGCTGAGTTACTATTATAAAGTAATAACTATGTTTGTAATGAATAGAGAAGGAATACTAATAGCGTTGACTATTGTATATTTCTGTAGCCATTCAGAACGAGCAAGGAATTCATTAAGGAAGCACAAAAATTCCAGAAACACGTAGGTGTTACACAAGCGAATTTCATTTCGCGTGTATGAGGGGGTGGGGATACGAGGGCGGTTCTAATAAAGCGTAGAGCGGTGTTTTGTTAATACGGGGCGAAACGCAGTTCCGGAATAATTCAGTTCTTGAAGGCTATGTGCAAGTAGCAAATTTTCGTTTACGTCGGAAACTGTGTGAGAGAGAGAGGGAGGAAGTTGAAGCAGGATGAAAGAAAGGAAATATATAAATGTGTGTATTTTCTGGAGGGTGGAGGATGGAAGTGGGTGTTCGCACGTCAAGTTTAAAAATTTATTTGATTTCCTTTCGCTGCTCGTTTATATTTTTTTTACGCTTTCACTTTATTATTTCCTTTCAGGAAATAATAAAGGTGCTCTTCTTCGAGAGGGTGCAGAATAAGGAGCCCAGAAATTAAATTGCATTCATAATTAAGGATGTTATTTCCTTCTGATTTCTCTGTGATTCCTAAATATAATACTCGTAAAGCCATCATCATTTGATATATTTCAGGAAAAGTATCTTTTAGTTAGTATAGAAAAACGTATACTTTGACTTGAATTTGTATGCTCAACTGTCTAATGGTCTGATAGTACGTTCGTATGGGTACGTACGTTCGAAAGTGTTTATACAAATTAGACTGTCCACTATGGGACTGTCCACAGCTCACAGTAGAAAATAACAGTTCCAATACAAAAAATACTTATTGTATAATTTCATTAAAAACTTTATCAAAATAATCAAATGATATTAATAAACCTGTATTATGAAAAAAAATCCAGAAATTAATCCTTTCTTGGGATGCAATGCCGTTCATAAAATCAACTGGCTTCTCTCCTTTTTCGAAAGGATTCAGTCGCGTCTCGTCTCGTCCCGACCCGTTCTTGCGCCTTTGCAACCACCCTCGAAACTCTCCCTCGACTGCATTATATTCCCCGGCCGACCCATTATGCCGCAACACATTTTGTGCTTAAACACTGCTCCGGGCATAAGCGATAAATACAATTTTCCCTCTCGCGAACATTATTAAATCGCAAAGACAATTATGAACGCCAACTTGGCGCTAATGAAATATTTCCAAATAAGGAATGGCACGCAGCTTAGATTCACTACAACAGATTCGCACAATTAAAATACGCTGTCGCATATTTGAGGGGGTTAAATCCCTTAGATAATCCGAACTTTCTGCTGTTTGTATATTAAAATTCGATCTTACTCTATATTATTACATGCACCATATTTGCAATCTATGCAAGCAACTGTGTTAATTATTGTCTTGTGGATGGATAACTTGGCAGACAGCCTTCATATACACACTCATTTGCATACCATTTAAATATGCATTAACCGTTGCAAGGCAAGTGCAGCTTCACCAAAATCCTAATCTTAACTATTACTATTTTCATCTAAAACAATAGAATCGTTACATAAAAACGTTAAAGTACTAAGTTTACCATGAAAAAATGTCATCTATTATTTTATTCCTTAGATTTCATCGGATTCTGATGATAGATCATCAAGTGATGTTGCGTTTGTGCAGAGTTTGGCGGCCGCGTAAAGTGTAGATCCGGATGTCTGTATATATAATACATCCTGATCTATACCTTGCGCGGCTGACGAGTTCAATATAAACGTATCATAAACACATGACTACAAGACACGCAACTCGTGCAAGAGTAACATGACGAAGGAATCTGCAGGGAAGGATCCTAGAACTTAATATTCCTGTATACAATCGAATCAACTATATTTGTGGAAGTTTCAGACATGGATTCAACAACTTTTTATATAATAGTTTATTTATAGTGCAATACTTACTAACAATGCAATATATAAAAATTTATATTTCTAATAATTATATTGCGTTTTTTCTCTTGTCCGCAAAATATTAAGAACTATCACAAAGGTCTATTGACCATAGGTCATATTATATTTTTTAAAGTTTATTAAGTAGCAAATGTATGCATGTCCTGTGATATATTCCTATTATAATTTTTTGTCTTCTAATATTAATATTTTATTGGTAACTTCATTGAAATTACGTATGGCTTATCTAAGGAAATATTTCTGATCTAGAATTAGTATTTTGAACTTGTGTTATTTATTATGGAGTATAGCATTGTATTGTATAAAGAGATAAAACGAGGATGATTTGCAGGAGATACAAGCTTAAACTGTACAGCAGAAGGACACACGTATATGTATATATATAAATGCATTTGGAAAATGTATATTTCACGTGAATGGAGTTGCAGAGCACGTGGCTTCATAATGCATGGACGTAGCAGGTATGCAGGTTGCTTGTGCATAAATGTGATATTCCAACAATTTATATATCGAAACGAAATAGAGGAGTATCAGCAACAAAATAAAAGCGGAAGTGCATAGAGCTGCATCATGTGCCGTGGGGCATCGGAGAGTTTAGCATATTTTAATGCGCAAACAAAAATGTAAATATCGG